CCTTTGTAGACTGGAGGGCACAAAGGCGTCACGGAAACTTCAGCCTCAGGTCATGACTGCAGGAATGGTGGCAACCTAAGGGGGCATGGAGGGGGCCCCGGAAGGCTTCCTGGAAGAGGTGGCGCAGGAAGTGAGCACTGAGAAAGCAGCCATTACGAAAGAGAACACCATGAACAAAGGCAGGAAGGGGAGACACCTGGCCCCAGTGGGTGGCCGGCGCTGGCTCCTCTGCTGGGCAATCAGGAATCTCCAGACGTCAAACCTTGGGCGGCCTGCACCTGGCCAGAGTGGCAGTGTACCGGCCCAGGCAACCGACAGGTGCCACGAATCAGGGCCTTTGTTTCGGGTACCAGAGGGCCAGTTTCCCGGCACACCGTTGGGCCCATGTGTGAGGGACCGGGAGCAAGTTGTCCGTTTTAGAAGTGATGGGACCCTTGGGTAAGAGGAACAGAGTGTGTGATGAGACACGGGGTGTCTGGCGCACTCAGAGGAAGCTGCAGGTCTGTAGAAATGGACGTAACCGAGAACTCAAACCCTCTCAGGACCTGCTGGCTTTGACCTCTGCTTTCTTCGGAAATATTTCTGCCTGTCTCTCCCGCATTTTTAGCTCTCTCCTTCCTACTTGCTTGTTCCGTCAGTGGTCTCTCTGTGTCTCTGTTCCAGAGGTCAGGAGACAAGGCAGATAAGACCCTGAAACTTGAACTACGAGAGCTTCTACTCCTGGAAGAGACATATTTCTCCTTTTCCGTCCCAGTTCCAAAATGTCCTGGAGAAAGACTGTAAATCACTCCCTTGGGCCAGGGGGTTCATTTCTGGACCAGCCAGCTGCAATAGAGTGTGACTCAGAGAAGGAGCTGAAGTCAGTCCCTGTTTAGTCACGTGGCCATCCCAGAGCCAATCAGCTGTGGCCCCAGGTTGCAGGAACAGTCCAGCTTGCAAGGTAACCATGTGGTCATGCGTGGGACAGGGGGGAGTAGCCATTCCCAGAAGCAGGCAGGTCCTGGGCAGAAAAGCCACAGGTTCCACGACGGAGGAGAGCCGCAGGGATGCCTGTCAGGTGGGCGGACTTTGGTGTGGTGGGCTGGGGCTTCGCCCAGTGGATGACTCAGGGGACAGGGCGGAGGCACCTAGGGAGGAGTGGCATGATCAGGTTTCTGTTTTGGATAGATTGCCAAGGCCGAGAGTGACGGAGGAGTGTGTCACAGGTCCAACTGGGGTGTGGAGGACGACTGGAAGAGGGCCCCTCTCACCCAGGTGTCAAATTCACTTCGTCTGCCCTTGTGCTGGTGGTCTTGTACCCGGTTCCGTCTTTCACCGGCTTTGTCGTATTACTGCGCACCCCTTCTCCCCCCACCCCCTGACCCGGGACAGGGCTCACCATCTGCCTTCACCCAAAGGTCCTAAGCAAACTCATCTCTTCCTCTGCTTTACAGCAAACAAGACGCAAACTATTTCCACACAGTAAGGCTTCTGAATCCCCCACGGTTGCCTTCCCTCATCAGCTCAGACTTTTAAAAGGCCTGTACTTCCCAACTTTTCCCTTAAACCTTCTTATTTAAAGGTTCATTATAATAGCACAGTATCTTCACCTTACCTCGTCTTAATAAAGAACAAGCGGAGAAGCCCAGAATATCAAACGAGAGAGAAGGAACTGAAATAGGCAGACTGGAAAGGGGGGTCAGGGGAACGGCCCGAGGCCCTGGAGCTCAAGGGCAAGCTGGGGGGGAAAGACAGGATCGCTCACACTTGAGCAATCGGGAGACCCCGAGCAGAGCTGCACCGGAGGGGACAAGAGGAAAGGGGAGGCACGATCAAAGTGGCCCCCGAGCCACCTTTGCTTGACAGCCTCTGTGTCTTTCTTTGTTGGACTGTGTTTGTACCAGGACCCACCCGTCGGGGGTCCCAGATGCACACAGGTTATAATTTGCTAAGTCTCTTTGTGAAATTTACCATTAAAAAAAATCTATCCAGTGAAGTTTTTGGATTTTGTTGTTGTTGTTGTTGTTGAAACAGAGATACAGAAAAGGGCTGCTAAGGGAGCGGCTCGATGAACTTTCACAAACCGAACAGAATATATGTGCACCCAGCACCCGGATCCGGGAATAAACTACGACACGCACCCAGGAAGTCCCCTTGGGCCTCCTTTGGATCACCGCTCACTACGAAGATCAGCACCACCCTTGCCTCTGACAGGACAGACTGGTTTTTGCTTGTGTTTGCAATTTATGTCTATAAATAGACTCACACGGTGTTGTGTTTTGTTTTTTGTTTTGTTTCTGAGTCCAGCTCCTTTGGTTCGCCATTGCGATAGTCGCCCATACTGTAGCAAGCACTGGCAGATCATCCATTCTCACGGAGACAGGGAATTCCGTGGGGGTGGGGGTGGGGGTGGGTGTGCTGCAGCTGATCTGCTCTGACGACGAACGTGTAGGTGGTTTCCCAGAGGGGTCACTCTAAAGGGAGGGACCTGCTGCAGTGACCCCTCCGGTTAGCTGGAAACCAGCACTGCGTTCCTAGTGCCTAAGCCATTATTTGTCATTAAGGGTCAGATCAAAGTCTGTGACCAGGCCTGGGTTTAGCCGGTCTGATCTCGGTCGCGGAGAAGTGTGAAGAACCACAGAGAGTGTGAGACAGAGAGAGACTAAAAGAGAGAAAGACCGATATAATAAAAGAAAATAGAATTTTTCTTCCGGCCAGACAGAGATCAGCAGCAAAACCGCAGAAGCCCGGAGCACCTTGATCTCCTCGGGACACCCCCTCTGTAAACGGGCATCTGTGCTCACACCCGGCCTCTCGCAAAGACAACGAACCACGTTAGTGAGTCGCTTCATCCGTCGTCCACACACCACGGCCACACTTCCTCAGTGTCTGCCCACGCCACTGCTTTCCCGGGACAACACGCCCGAAGTGGAATTACACATTTGCTGAGAAAGGCCCTGCCATGTTGTAAATTGCTGCTCCCCCGCCCCACCCCCCTTTTCCTTCTATCTGCGTGTACGTTTGCCAGTGAGATCGAAGTTCAGCCTGTTCGTTCATTCCTCAGGAAACAACAATCACTGCATACAGCACATGCGGTGCGTCCGCAGCGTTTGCGAGGAGCACGCGCAGTTTCCCACCGTCAGAACGTTCTACCTCGTTGGAGGTGACATGGAGACCCACACCCAAACTGTGGGAAACGGCTCTTCTAAAACCGACCTGGGGAGCACCACGGCCCCGCCGCCTCCGTGGATTATTTTAACGTGGGGGTTTGATGAAATGTGTAACAGCAAAGGCGGGGTTCCCATCTGGTGGATTTAGCCAATAGCCTCGATTCCTATTACCTATTTCTTGAAATAAAGTGGGGGTGAGCAGTGGGGTTCTGCAATGGGGAACCCGGAGGGAGCGGGCCTTCCGTTGGTCACTGACTGGCTGACCCGTGACAATGGCCTCGGGGGCTGCACAGGTGCCGTTAGGAGGCAGGTGGAAGCATGTGTCACGGGCAGGAAACACGGTTGGCCTGTCACTGACGGTCTGTGAATGCGGTGGCTGGGGTTGGAATTCAGGAGGGACGTTCTGCCAACAGCCTGTGTGATTGTTCTGCGTCATCAGTCAGCTCTCCCTGCGCAAGGGCACATATTTGATTTGAAAAGCTTTGTTTTTTCAAGCGGCTTTCAGCCCAGGGACGGAGGCTGGACGAAGAGCCGAAGGCCCGAGTCCCGGTCCTGTCTCTGCCACTTGGCGGCTGTCCGACCCTGGGCAAGTCACAGCCTCCCTGGGCCTGCGTCTCCCCACCGGTGAGTCTCGAACAAGTGAGACCGCCGGCGTGCGAGTGCGCTCGGTCACGGCGCGGCCCTGCTGCCGGCCAGTGACACGAGCTGTGACAAGCTAGTCCCCTCAGAGAAGTGAGTCTTACCGAAATTCTGGGCCAGCTAATAACATAAATGTTTGTGCTCTGTCCTCCTGTCACCTTTCTGTTCCACCTGTGGGTTCTGGGCCGTGTGGAAGGTCCGTATGCACGTGTCGGTGAGCCGTCCGGGCACAGAAGCAGAGACACAGAAGCAGAGACGGATTTGTCCCCAACCGGAGTGGGGGAGTGTGGCTGTGCTGGCTTTGTTGGCTGGGGAGGGGCCGCTTTACTGACAGGTGTTTGTCACCAGGGCTTCCAGCCTCTTTGACGCTGTGACTCTTGCCGTCCTGCGCTCACCGTGGATGGACATGTGCTTCTATGTCAAGGGGTTCACCTGAGACACGGAAATTGGACTCTCCTTCCAAACTGTAGGTTCCCGGTGGCCAGGACCGCTGCGAGTTCTCTGGGATTCTTCTGTTTCTCACGTGCCGCCCGGCCTCTCCCCGGTCAAGAGGTCCAGTCCACACCCAGCAGCGACGGGCATCCTGGCAGCACGGTCTTCCTCCCGGGCTTTCGGGGACTCGTCCACTTACTACCACTGCATCACAGATCACCCCAGACTCAGAGTCTTCCCGTAACAACATCTGTCTTGCTCAGGGCTGGGGGAGGCAGCTTGTCTCTGCTCCACGTGGCTTCAGCTGGCACGGCTCGCGGGCGGGAGCTGGAACCGCTGGAAGGTTAACGCACTCTGTGCTAGGTGGCTAATGCTGGCTGTCAGCTGGTCTAACTGCTCGGCCTCTCCCTAGGCCTTGGGCTTCCTTCCAGCCTGGTGGCTGGTTCCCGAAGGTGAGTGTCTTGTGAAGAGAGAGTGTGCGAGCCAGAGAGAAGTCGTATCACCTTTCAGGACCCGGCCTGAAGAGTCATTTCTACCACGTTTTGTTAGTGGAGGCAGTGGCAGAGTAGCCCTGCACCCCAGTGCCCAGAGGAGGGGAAGTAGACCCCCCTGTCTCCATCTGGGGTGTGGCGGTGCTCCGGCAGCGCATGCGGCATCATCACCGTGGCCGAGACACTTGGGGACAACACGTTCTGCAGCAGGGATCCCTGCGATGGCGATGCGGTGGGTTCTCCTGGAAGATTTTATTTCTTTACATTTTTAAAAAAAAAATTTTTTCTACCTTGTTTGAAATCAGCCCACATGCTACAAAGCTGTGAGGCCAGGTTCAGTGTTACTTTCCCTCCTTTTACAACCCCAACACCGGGGCTCAGATCTGATGGGAAAGGGAACCGGAGGGTTATTTCTTTACATTTTTAATCGTGATTGGCGTGCTTAGGGCTACCTCAAATGGTAAAATTCATATTTCTTGCTCTTTGACTGAAATGTCTATTTTTTAAAAAAGATTTTACTTATGTATTTTTAGAGAGAGGAGAAAGGAGGGAGAAAGAGAGGGAGAGAAACATCAATGTGTGGTTGCCTCTCGTGCGCCCCCTATTGGGGACCTGGCCTGCAACCCAGGCATGTGTACTGACTGGGAATTGAACCTGGTGACCCTTTGGTTCTCAGGCCAGCACTCAATCCACTGAGCCACACTAGCCAGGGTGTGAAATGTTTAAAATGAAAACAAAAATTCTTAATAACATTATGCAGAAAACAAAGCACACATTCATATGCTTTTATTAAAAATATTGCTTGTCAGGAATAAAATAAGATTTTCACTGTTTATGCCAGCACAGAGCATGAACTCATGTCGGTATTTGTTTCCGACACTGGTGGGAGACCTGATTTTTCAAGAGCTTTCCAAAGAAACGCTTCTCCGCCGTCTGCACACACGTCGCCATCTGCTCATGGCTGACTTGGGAGGTGGTCCAGCCTCCTTCAAGGTCATGGGAAGCACACTTCAGTTGCATCTCAGTCAACACTTCCCCTGGTGAAATTACTCACAGAATCGCTGGATGAGCACATTCCGGTGAACTTCGGCCAACGGCTCTCTTAGATCCGTCTGCAGCTGCCCGGTGACAAGGAGGCAGCCTGTCAGCGACATCCGCAGCCACGCTCTCGCAGACAAGAGCTCTGGAGAGCCGGAAGTCTGAACTAATCGACTCACGAGGCACGGCCAAGTTCGGCCGGCTCCGCTGCGTCTGCATCAAAGGTAAAACCGAGCCTTTGCTCTGTGGCTCGGAAAGACCGTGACACGGGGAGAGGGCTGTTCACCTCACGGACACCGTGTGGCTGGGGAGCGCATTTTACTGAACGTTCCTGCCCCTGATCTCCCCGAACGAGACCTGTCCCCAGTTTTGCTGTCCCCACCCTGGGAGAAGCCCCCGTATCTCACGCCTCATCCAAGACCCCGTCTGGGTTTTCTGTTCCTTCCTGCAACCCATCCTCTGACCCTGGGGGTCCCCCAGGTCCAAGGCCTTCAATGGCTGTGAATTCAAATGTACATTTCTTTTATTTTACTTTTTTTTAAAAGATTATATTTATTTATTTTTAGAGAGGGAAGGGAGGGAGAAAGAGAGAGAGAGAAACATCAATGTGCGATTGCTGGGGGCCGTGGCCTGCAACCCAGGCATGTGCCCTGACTGGGAATCGAACCTGCGACACTTTGGTTCGCAGCCTACGCTCAATCCACTGAGCTATGCCAGCCAGGGCTTATTTTACTTTTTTATCGAAGCACTTGGGGTGATGTTGGTTAATAAATTTATACAGGTTTCAGGTGTACAGTTCTCTGATGCCAATCATCATCGGCATCCTGTGTGTTCACGGCCCCATAAAATGCACATTTCTACACGCGGCGTGAAAGGCCCTTCCTACTGGCCCAGCCCGCCTTCCAACCTCATTGCCTCTAAAATGCACATCCCACTCCAAGGTGAACCGCTGGGGTCTCCCAAAACAAGAACCTGCACCTTTTTTGTTGTTGTTGTTGTTGTTACGCCTCTGCTCCTGGCGTTCCCTCAGCCCAGAGCGCTCTTTGCTGGGCCTGTTCCAATCCTACCTGCTTCTCAGGATCGCATTGCGGCCCTCCGTGCGGCCTCCCGACCCCTGCCCTGGGAGGGACCTCGCCCTCCTCTAAGCCGTTCCTTAGCAGCGCCTCCCCGGTCGCTCACACTTACATTCTCTACCTTGAGTTATAGTCGTTGAAGACAATGTCCTCATTTGCGTATGAGACCAGGAGTTCCTGGTGGACAGAGTGGACGTGTGTGACTCCCCTTGGAAGCCGCCCCAGCTTCTGGCCCAGCCGTTGACACACAGCACGCAACACTCCTCAAACTCAGATGCCACGCTTCCGTCGCCACACTCCCCCATCCCCTCCCCTCCCCTCCCCCTCCGTCCTGATGTCTCCATGCCGTTCCTGACGCCTCCTCTCGCCATCCTCGCCGCACTGCCACCCCACCAGCCGAGGCCCTTCCCTGTTGCTCCTTCCTCTGCAGCGCGCACCTGTCTTCTCATTGCCTCCCCAGCGCCTCGCTCCCGCTTCCTCTAGTTCCGTCTGCCCCGAGCTTCTGCAACAGCCCCCTAAGGCCTCCCGGCCCTCGGCATGTCTGTCTCCAAACTTACCTGATGAGAAAGCACCGGCCGAGTGTTCCACCCGAGCTGCCCTGTGCCGGTGTCCGCCTTTTGTTCTGGAAACTCCGGGCCAGGGCTGGTTGCCCTTTGCCCAAGCGTGAATGCTTCGATCTGGCCGCTGAGCGGCCTCCCGAGCGCCGCCCTTTCCACCGATGGAGACGCTGTGGGGGAGAGACCTGGAGCTGAGGTTGATCTCAGAATGTTTCCGACTGAGAGCCGTGACCCATCACTGGGTCGGTGGGCAGCAAGAGGTACTCAGTGGGTCATCGCTGACACCTGTTTCCGTGGGTTGGCCTGGAATGGAATCGTCGGAGTAGACAGGAGGACGGAGCGTGTAGTAAAGGATCATCCGCTACAACGTGTGTTCCATTCACACACACGCAGGGGCGCGATGCAGTTCTCACTGCGGCTCATGTCAAAAACCTGCAAAAACCACTGGTTTCTCCAAATCCCCACCTGTCTCCTATTTTCCATACCTTCTTTTCGCAGAAAGACATGTCCCCAAGCATTCTACGACTCTCCGGAATCTTCTCTGGACATCCATGGGCCTGACTGCCCCGTGTAACACGCTGCCAGGCTCGGGCGGTGAGGGCCGGCCCCCCTCCCACTGGGCAGCGGTGCTCGCCCGCCTACCGAAGAGCTCCGTCCCTCTCGCTCCTCCTCGCTCGACTCCCATCTCCGCTGCTCTTACCAGCCTGAAGAGATGAGGAATTAAGCTCCATGGCAACCAGCAAGACAGGAAAGCAATCATCTAATTTTTGATATCACTTAATAAAAGGGCAACAAGAAGGGCATGCAAGAAGAGGGACAGACAACGCAACCGAATGCGCCTGAGGGCCAGAACCAAGATAACCTACTAACCACGGAGCCCTGAGTGTCTGAGCGTGTAGCCCTCACGGCTCGGGTCTGGGGGTCCGGGACAGTGTCTGAAGTGCCCAGGGCATTAGTATGTGGCCCAGACTCCCCGTCTCGCCTCGTGATCCACCTCCGAGGGGCACTAGGCATTCAGCAGCTCCTGCTGTGTCTGCAGGAAAGCAAGGGATGGAGAGAGGCAGGGGGTGGGTCCATGGAGACGGCGCTACACAGCCAATGAAGAGATGACTTGGTCTAGTCCCGCCCCTTCCTCTCACTACACAGGGACTCGAGAAAGTCTTTTAGAGCATAAGCACCAATTTCTCCTTCCTTGAAACGGAAAGTGAAAAAGGATTTGCATTGCTTATAGAATTAAGATGATTTAAAATCCCAACTATATACCGTAAACTCACTTTAGATCAAAGGACATGCATAGGCTGAAGGTGAAGAGACAGAAAAAGATACTTCGGGCCCATGGTAACCAAAGGAGAGCAAGGGAGGTTATACCTACATCAGACAAAACAGACTTCAAGTCAAAAACTCTCAAAGGAGACAAGGAAGGACATCATGTAATGACAAAAGGCCAATCCGCTGGGAAGAAATAACCACCATAAATATGTAGGCACCCAACATCAGAGAACCTCAGCATGGACAGCAAATACCGCTGGAACTGAAGGAAGAATTACTCAGCGTTGCAATACGAGGAGATGTCGGTACCTCTGTTTCAAGGGCGGATAGAACGTCCACACGGATCGATTAGGAAGTGAGGGCTCAAATGACACCACAGACCACGGGGACCTAACGGACGTGCACCGGACCCCCACCCAGCAGCAGCAGTAGTTCCTCACAGATCCATCTCTTACGGCCGAAATGGAGCGACACTCAAAATCGACAGCGGAAGGAGAAATGAAATGTTCACAAATAGTAGAAAGCGAACAACAAACTGTTGAATAGCCATCAAGTCAAAAAAGAAATAAAAAAGGAAATTAGAAAACACACACACACACACACACACACACACACAGCCCAAAATCACAACCTATCAAAATTCGTGGCATGTAGCAAAAGCAATACTGAAAGGGAAGTCTATTGGGATAAATGCCTCTACTAAAAAAGAAAAAAGAGCTCAAATTTAAAAGCCTAACTGTAGACCCCGAGAAGCTAGGAAAAGAAGGACAGACAAAGCTCAGAGTTAGCAGAATAAAGGAGATGATAAAGATCAGAGCAAACTAACAAAGGAATAAAAACCGATATAAAAGATCAGTAACACCAAGAACTTTTTTGAACTATGTCAGAAGGGAATATACCCAAACGTTAGCAGTGGTTCACCTGGATAGTAGGGTGGTGGCTCTTCTTCAAATTCCTAAATTCCCAAATTTTCACATTTTTATTTCTGGAACATGTAAATGTATGTAATAATAAAAGTAAATATTCATTAAAGATAGCCCTAAAGGACAGCATTTATTTTTTTTAATAATAGCGAGAATAAATGACTCCTGAATGAAAAAAGAGAGTCTAGAAGTTTCTCAGCAGCGCCAGGGGCTCCGGGAAAGTAAGGTGCGTGGAGACATCGCTGGTCCGTTCGCACCTGGATCGCCCAGAGAGAAGGCAACGTGGACATCTGAGCCCCTAGAAACTCACCGGGATCGCAGTACACAACACCGTATTCATCCAGTTTTACCACGGCGTAGTTTAGACCCTCTCCTTCCTACTGCAAGACTTGGGAAGGGGTTTCATCCCACCAGAGACTCCATGTCCTCAGCTGCGCAGTGGCAGGGATTCAGGGAAGGTTAAATGAGAGGATGTGTATAAAAGCCCCTAATCGTTTCCCTTCCTCTTCCAGCAAGGGCCCTTCCGGGTCTATTTTACTGTGACTCCT